GAGGATCCGAACCGGGTTCGCCCACTTCAAGAAAGAGAAATACGAGTAAGCTTATTACTTGCTAACTATTCAAACTAATATAGATAACAATAACAATTACAAAAAAAGATAATCACTTAGCAAATTCTAATTAAGTAAAATAATGTAAATTATTTATTTTAGTTTTTCCTTGAACAAAATTTAATATGGGATTGCATATGATTTTTCTCAAGTATAGGAAGGATCCTGCTCTGTATGCTAAGCTTGCCAAGGGCCAATCCCCAGAGGTATTAGAACTATAACATATAATATATATATATATATATATTATAATATATATATATATAGTTGTGTGCACATATTATTGTGTATGTTTTGTTATTTAATGTATAAATTATGATGAAAAAAATAAATAAAAAAATTGCAGTTCTTGGTGTTTGCATGCTCTGATTCAAGAGTATGCCCTTCACATGTCCTTAATTTCCAACCAGGGGAGGCTTTTATTGTAAGAAATATTGCCAATATGGTCCCTCCTTTTGACAAGGTATATATACTTATTATTTCTAGTTATTATATTCAATGTATACTTTAGTTTTCAAAAATGAAGTTATTTTAGCTAAGTCATGCATGGCTAAATTTCGGTTTCGAGCCGGTTTAAGGCCAGCGGTCAATAGGCCTGACCGTGTCGGTTATGGGTCGGTTCGGCCCATGGACATGTTTAATTTTAGGCTTTAACCATTTTTTTTTAATAATATTTTTAATGTAGACAAAACATTCGGGGACAGGAGCTGCAATTGAATATGCGGTGCTACACCTAAAGGTGATTATATCATGAGTATATTAGATACTATTGTTAGACACATCGGTTGATATATAGTAGAGCATACTGTTATTTAGGTATTTAGTTGTTGAATCGAGCTTTTACGAAGTTAAAAGAATCAAACTCGAGCAGAGTGGACTCGTTTATTCAACTCTGCTCATGGATTTCCATTCAGATAACACATTTTTTGAACAAAAATACATTGTTATACATTTGTCTCATTTTTTTTTTCAAAT